TTAATAAAACCATACTAAAGATTACTCCCACCATTTCCTAAATAAGTGCATTAGTTTTTTGAAAAGTCAATACTTCGCATGTTTGAGCAAGTTTTTAGGGAAAATTATATCAATATCCAATATATCAAATTTGTATTGTCTACTCCCTGAAAAGTATTCTGATATTTTATATATTAGGTATTTCAGATGTTGTTTTTTTATTCTATAATCTTGGTCAAACATACAAATGTTTGACTCTAACAAAAATTAGTGCATCTTATATTCTGGAACAGAGGGAGTATAAAATAACCTCTCTTAAATCATGCTTGATTTTTTTCTTCACTTTTTTGGTGGGACACCAATGCTCAACAACCTTCACACGTAGGACTAAAACCTATTCATACACTTGTCGGCCTCATTAATTTCATTAATTATCTATCATCAATACCTAAACTCAGTTAGGAATCTACATGTCATTTCACTTAGTCCCCAAGCCTCATGATGATCCTGTTGTTCATAGTCTTCCACTCCCTGCTCTACCTCATTATCTTCCTTTCGGCCACCATCAACCTCCTCCCCTCCCTGATCGCTAGCTCTAGCCTCCCCCAGCTACTTGCTCTAGTCCCCCTTGCCTAGCGCTTCATTCTTCATTGCCCCGGCGACAACGAGCACTGGTCCCCTCACCTCCTACTTCTCCTACCTACGAGATCCAGCCCCTCCAACCCCAATGCCCCAAACTCGATCTCTCCTTTTCCCTCCCCGAATCAATTCCTTCAATTTTGTTACGATATTTGTGTTTTCCGGTTAAGATGCTTAACTCTAAAATACTAAATTTTAGGGATAATCCACTCTGATTGATAATTCAGTTGCTAATATTCTTATAAAATTTGTAACTACTCTGCCATGATTGCGAGTTTAATAGAGAGTAAGAGAACAAGTTTTTTTTGAATGTACTCTCAATATTAATTTCAAGCGACATAGTTAAATGTTGAAAATTAAAAATATGATTCAGGCGAGAAGATTTTGAGAAGAACGATCAACCTGGCAAAGAGTAGACATGGATACTAACAACAAGAGAATTTTGTAGGATTTGCTTAACTAGTTTTATTCAAGCATTATGGTTAACCTTATGTGGGGAGGAGAATATTGTCTTAGTATAAAACAATTTCTTTCTTTTTGGTAAAATTATGTCTAATATGTTCAAATATATTGGAATTTCTAGTTATTTCTGTCCATCGTCATGACATTCTGGTTAAAATATGCCATAAATGATTCATAACATCTATGTCCACTTACTTAAGTCAAAATCGGTTAATTAGCAAGTAAATGGTGTACATACATGTCATTTCAAAGGAACTTAAACAGAACAGTTAATCCGCGTTGAATCTCAGGTGAAAAATATTGACTAGGAAAACATTTAGTTAATGTAACTTTTGCCAAATCCTAGTCTAATCGCAAAGAATCAACATGTTTAATGAGGAGGTCCCATCGGATCTCTAGTATTCCTTTTCGTTACCCTCAATAACTAGTACATAGCTTGAGTATCATCACATAAGTGCAAAAGGAGATTAAATCATATATGAGGGGCCAATATAAATGGAATTTGCTCGATGATAGAGTGAACACTATAGGCATGTTGCAGAGGAAATCATTCCACCTCCCCTTTGTGATGATGATACCACTGAAACATGTATGCATCTCTTTTGGGATTGTCCCTTTGCTTTATAGTGCTGGGATTCTATCCACCCCAACAGAAGGCATAGCACCTTAGTTTTGCATGACATAATTCCGTTTTCCTCTTTGCCTAGTAAATTTTATTTAGATATTTTCGTTATGGGATTCTGGAACATTTGGATGCAGCGGAACAACAAAATTTTCAAGAATATCATCCCAATCATCATCTCCTGGATAAGTTCTTCTGAAACAGGATATCAAGATCATTGGTTATCGTATCAAAGGCAGTCTCACAAAAGCTCTTCAAGTTTGGGGCCAACAACATAGCTAAGATAGACTAGCTTTCCATCATGATACCTAGATCTGGCATTGTGTGATTTCATAGTACTTTTGTTTTAGTATTTTTGTATCTTTATACTTTATTTAAATAAATTACGTAGAGTGATTACCCTATGGTTTTGGGTCAAAAAGGTATTATGAAAAACAAATATATGAGCCACGACGGTTGGGACCACTCTGGCTCTAATCAAGCTCTCACACTACTCACCATCCAAACCCTAAAGTTTTCAATTGGTTCTAGGTTTTTGCCCTACGTTCAACAACATTGGCCTTTTGCTCTATTTCCTTTGGAGTTAGATTCCACACATTAGTAGTATGGGACACAACCCCAGCCCCACCAGCGGTCTAGGTTTCTTCCCCGCCGCCATCCTCCCACACCGGTAGATCCTCGGCCTCATCCTCCTTTGTGGGCTCCGTAGGCGAGGGTGTATAGGATGGCTCTGATCTGCCGATGGGAGCCATAGTTTCCCTTTTTCTTGTGAGGTAGGTCTTGGTTAGGAGGTGGCGAGACAATGGTGCTGCCATCGGTGTGGAATAAACTCCTCTCGCCTCGCCCTCGTCGGATGATGCTTCTTCGTATCCTCGGGAGGCACGTGGAAGATGATATGTCTTTAGATTTGGTTCATTGGTTCACAAGAAAGATGACATGTGTTCATATTAATGGAGTATGAGTCCCTTGTTTTTATATCATCGAGGTCCATCCCTATCATTTTCCATCTAAATAGACCAAGCTATGAAAACAAGGAGTACTACAATGTATTTTGGTAGTAAACTCAGTAGAAATCCCTCTAGATTCCAAGCTCTCTCGGACTGGAGGCTCGTAGTGCATCGAGATAATTTTTTGTTCATGGCCTCATATTTCAGGAACTAGATTGGTTGTGGGCTGCCATTGGGCCTATCGCACTCGAACCTCGCGCTCCTATGGTGAACCTGGCTATTTCCCACCGCTTTTGGGAGGTTATAAAACATTCTTGGACCGTTTTTTTTGCCAATTTTACAGGGTTTCATTTTCCTTTTTTAAATTGTGTATTTTTAATTCATAAATATTTTCTAAAAAATTGTGGAGCATTTTTAAATCGAAGAATATACTTTAAAATTGTGATTTTTTTGAAATTAACATTTTTAATATTTTATAAATTTACGAACATTTTAAAAATTTAGGAAACTTCACTTGAAATCCATGATTTCTTTTAATTTGTGAATATTTTAAAGGTCATGCACATTTTTAATTCAAGAAAACATTTTTAAAACCCATGAACTTTTTAAAAATTCGTTGATATTTTTAAAAATTCATGAATTTTTTTTAATATGTGATTTCTTTTCCAAATTTGTAAACATTTTTCCAACATTTTTATTTGTTGGACCATTTTATATATTCTTTCTATATTTTCCCGTTCTCCTTTCTCTCTAGTTTCTTCATTCGTCTCTTTGGATGAGCGGAGGCCCAACTTGGCTGACTAGGTAGCTAGTCGAAGCGAGTGTGCTGGGGCGATCGCATTTGGTTGCCCTTCGACGTGTTTCACGCTAAATAGGACATCTTACATGTGTGGGCTATTTTGCTGCTAGGGACGGGGTGAACCGTTTTCTTCTTCTTGCGTTTGTGAGGGGGTAGTGGCAGCTTGTTGGTTCGTCAATGAGTGGTCGGGTGGTCGTTTTCTCCTTCTTCTCCGCCGAGGCTCCTCGGGCTGGATTCACGGTGGAAGACCAACATCATGTTAGAGTTGGTGGAGAGCTAGAATGGAATGATCGGGCATTCGAGATCCAAGCCAACAAGAGCACTTGTCGGAGAGCTGTTGTAGCCAGACGTTGTGGTAATAGATTTAACCCCAAGGTTGGGAGGCGACTAGGTTGAGAGACTGAAGTCATTTGGAGGATGAAAACTAATACAGCGAGAGTGATTCCGACACAAGTGGATTGGGTTGTGTGGAGACGTGCATCGTACATGGGTCTTGGGTCATGCATGTATGTGCCAGTAGAGTAGGAAAATTAGAGAAAAGGAATGCCCATTTTGTGATGATCAGTTCAGTTTATGTAAGATGAAAACTGACGATACATCCAAACACCAAACAACAAGCGATGGAAACACCGAACCAAACATATTAAATGGAATAAACCAATAGTATCGATCAACTCAATTCGGTTTGGTTTTTTGGTTTTCGGTGTAAAAATGCTCACCTGTAACCGCAAATTGGATGCGTAAGAAAAAAGAAAAAAATATTTAACTCAGGACCGAGGAACAGCGCGGCAAAGTGCCCATTACCCTGTAGTGTAGTGCAGATGGATCAATGAGCGAACATAGGTAGAGAGGGCCGAGGGCGGACAAGCATACACTTGTCCTGTGTACCAATCTACATGTGTCTGATATGTTTCTTTCTGGTTCAGTTGGTTGTATGATGGTTGGAGGGGGAGATGTTTCCCACCCACTGCTACTGCTATCGCTTGCAAGCTCGTTGCATTGCCTCCTCTGCTTCTAGTAACTCAAGCACGTACGGAAAGATTTGGTTAAACTGTGGGCTACCTTTCTCTAGTCTGCGCAAACAAGAGAGGAAAACGAGAGCGGTCGACGGCAAACGAACAAACACTCTGAATTTTCCGCAGCACAACACCCTCCGACACCTCCTCCCTTTCTGCTGCACTCTTTACCCGAAGCCACCAACCATGATTATTTTACTCACTCTACGCGCACGCACGCACACTGGATTAGAGTGAGCGACATCACCAGAAATTTTCTTGTTGAGAAGAACGGCCATCAAGGCAAGAAGTATGGACGAGAGCAACGCATTAGTTTTTTGCCCAATCATGAATTCAAAACCTTGCAAGACTGCAGCCAGGTGAAACGTTTCCACACGGCCAATGTGCAGAGCATATATATACGCCAGGGCGCCAAACACATTTCCCAACTCACCACGCACCGCGCCATTTGTTAATCACGAGGCCTAAATCCACCTCCCGTGGTTAATTATATCAGCTGTCACAAGCTTTTTTACGTGGCGCGCATGGCCACGGCAATGGACGCCGTCGTGATGCAGCTGCACCCCGGCGCCATCGCGGTGACGGTCGTGGCCTTGGCCTCGGCGTACATGGTGTGGTTCTGGGCGCTGTCGAGGCGGCTGTCGGGGCCCCCGATGTGGCCGCTGGTGGGCAGCCTCCCCAGCGTCGTGGTGAACCGGAAGCGGGTCCACGACTGGATCGCCGACAACCTGCGCGCCACGGGCGAGGCGGCGACGTACCAGACGTGCATCCTGCCGCTGCCGTTCCTGGCGCGGCGGCAGGGGCTGGTGACGGTGACGTGCAACCCGCGGAACCTGGAGCACATCCTGCGCGCGCGCTTCGACAACTACCCCAAGGGCCCCATGTGGCAGGCGGCGTTCCACGACCTCCTCGGCCAGGGCATCTTCAACTCCGACGGCGAGACCTGGCTGCTCCAGCGCAAGACGGCGGCGCTCGAGTTCACCACCCGGACGCTGCGCCAGGCCATGGCGCGCTGGGCCAACCGCTCCATCAAGGACCGCCTGTGGCGCATCCTCGCCGACCACTGCGACGCCGCTGCCAGCGTCGACCTCCAGGACCTCCTGCTGCGTCTCACCTTCGATAACATCTGCGGGCTGACCTTCGGCAAGGACCCCGAGACGCTGTCGCCGGGCTTGACGGAGAACCCCTTCGCCAACGCCTTCGACGAGGCCACCTTGGCGACCATGCAGAGGTTTCTGTTCCCCAGCTTCCTGTGGCGGATCAAGAAGGCGCTGGGCATCGGCAGCGAGCACAGCCTCCGCAAGAGCCTCGCAGTGGTGGACCAGTTCATGACGGAGACCATCGCGGCGCGCAAGGCCACGCCGTCCGACGACCTGCTGTCCCGGTTCATGAAGAAGCGCGACAGCAACGGCAAGGCGTTCCCGGAGCACGTGCTGCAGTGGATCGCGCTCAACTTCCTGCTCGCGGGCCGCGACACGTCGTCCGTCGCGCTCAGCTGGTTCTTCTGGACGGTCATGCAGAGGCCCGACGTGGAGCGCAAGGTGCTCCTCGAGATCGCGTCCGTGCTCAGGGAAACGCGCGGCGAGGACACGGGGAGGTGGGCGGAGGAGCCGCTGGACTTCGACGAGCTGGACCGCCTCGTGTACCTCAAGGCGGCATTGTCGGAGACGCTGCGCCTGTACCCGTCGGTGCCGCAGGACTCCAAGTACGTGGTGGCAGACGACGTGCTCCCCGACGGCACCGTGGTGCCGGCCGGCTCGGCGATCACCTACTCCATCTACTCGGTGGGGAGGATGGAGAGCATATGGGGCAAGGACTGCGTGGAGTTCCGGCCGGAGCGGTGGCTGTCGGCGGACGGCAGCCGCTTCGAGCCCGTCAAGGACGCGTACCGCTTCGTGGCGTTCAACGGCGGGCCGAGGACGTGCCTCGGCAAGGACCTCGCCTACCTGCAGATGAAGTCCATCGCGTCGGCGGTGCTGCTGCGCCACTCGGTGGAGCTCGTGCCGGGGCACCAGGTGGAGCAGAAGATGTCGCTCACCCTGTTCATGAAGAACGGGCTCCGCGTGAACGTCAAGCCAAGGGACCTCGCCGGCTACGTCGCGCCGCCGCCGGAGGAGGCGCCGCCACTGGGGCCAGTCGTGATCCCAACCACCACTGCCGCCGCTGCATAGTCTTGCGTCTGCCTACGTACATTGGTTTCTGAAATTCTGATGCTTGTTCATTCTGCCCGCTGAATTTGTTCTTCTTCATACAGCTGTGTGCGTATTTTTTTTGTGTTTTTTCGGTTGTGTACTTTTGATGAGGCATTGGTGGATCGTCAAATGAAATGAAGTTTATACGTTGCATTCATATATATTTTGAAGTGAAGGTAAAACATTATTTTCTTCCGGTGCATTCTCGACTTACACGAGCAATAACATTTTTTCATACGACCGCGAAGGACCGGGTTCCACATTATCATGATGATAACCGAACAAAATTATCCAATATCCGATGCAAGAAAAAAAACTAAAGACAGAAAGAATAACGCGGTCAGGGTGTTTTCTGATTGTGGATTGGTTAATCCATCTTAATCAACTTGCTTTAACAAATGGTCGCAATATTCGGGAGGGGGTTCTCATTTTACATGAAGTTAAGGCCAAAAGTCGGTCGGGCGTTTTTCTTAAGCTTGACTTCGAGATGGCATATGACCAATTCGAATGGCATTTCCTTCGTTGAGTTCTGGAGGGGAGAGGCTTCGACTATAGATGGATCAGTTGGATTATGCGGTTGGTCTCTAGCGAAAGTAGGACTATCAACATTTATGGGGAGGCATGCCCCTATTTCAAATCCTCGTGAGGGCGAGGCCTTGATCCTGTTGTTTAACCATGCGGTAGATGCAAGAGATGCTAGCCACATCGAGGTCTATTGGGTCATTTGATCGATGCGGTGATGCACACCTCCAGTGATTGTCGAGGGATAGGAACTAGACATCATCAAATCCTCATCCTTTGCTTGGAAGCGATGTCAGTGCTAAAGATCAACTTCACAAAGAGTGAGGTTGTAGTGATGGGATATCTAATTGGGGAGTAGAAGCGAATTACCAATAATCTGAACCACAAGCTATAGTCCTTTTCGAAAAATTACCCACCTACGGTTCCTCGTGAGCGACAGGAGGATCCTTATCAATTATCTCAACTAACTAGCAAGCGGTAAAGGTCTAGTATGGAGCCTTGGAGAGGTCAAATTTCGTGTATGAGTGCTAAGACTATTCCCATCAACTCTTGCCTCTTTAGCCGCAAGCGAATTACCAATAATCTGAACGCTATAGTCCTTCCCCATTACCCACCTATGCTTCCTTGTGAGGGACACGAGGATCCTTATCAATTATCTCAACTAACTAGCAAGCGGTAAAGGTCTAGTATGGAGCCCTGTAGAGGTTAAATTTCGTGTATGAGTGCTAAGACTATTCCCATCAAATCTTGTCTCTTTAGCCGCCCCCATGTTCCTCATGGGCTTGTACCTTATTACAGAAGGTGTCCATGAGGAGATGGGAAAAGAGATCTCCGCTTCTTTTGGCAGGGGGCTAACGAGAAGCAAAAGCACCACATGGTTAATGGGAGCACATGCGCAACCCAAAAGACTAAGGTGATGTGGGAATCACAGCCTCCTAAGAGATGAACTTCGCCATCCTACGGAAGTGGTTTGGAAGATTATGTGAGACGAGGGAGACCTTTCGTTCCTCCTCTTTAAGGCCAAGTATCTCCACGGTGCAGCCCCCCTCACCTGTTCTAAGCGAGGGGGTCATAGTTTTGGCGGACGATCTAGCCCATTTAACACCTTATGTGCGAGAAAGCTTGACATGTTGTGGGGACGGGGGAATCAACCATTTCTTTGTTGGATAGATGGTTCGTCGAGACAGCTCTCGAGGAAGAACTCCCTTCTCTCTTCGCCATATGCACTGCCCCGTAAGTGACCGCCGTAGAAGTCTTGAGAAATGAGCATGGGAATATCTCGTTTTGCACGTCAATTGAGACAAAAGAGACGTCCGCTTGGTCCATCCCTCCAAGCAGATCAAACATTTTTTGTTGCTACCGCGTCGAGCCAATTTTCTTTCCATTTAGTGTACCAATGGTTGGTCGGCTATCCAAGGCCTCCGCACTTGGTGGAGGCCTGGCATATTTGCATGCCCCTTAGATTAAGATCTTTGGCAGCTCCTTTAAGGTGCCTTCCTACTACCTCTTGAGCATGTGTTGGTTTTCCCTTGAAGAGAAAAGGGTGATGCACCAAAGCAGCGTAAGTATTTTCCTCGGTTTTTGAGAACCAAGGTATCAATCCAGTAGGAGACCATGTGCGAGTCACCTCGTACCTACACAAACAAGTAATAACCTCGCAACCAACGCGATAAAGGGGTTGTCAATCCCTTTATGGTCACTTACGAGAGTGAGATCTGAAAGAGATAATAATAATAAGATAAATATTTTTGGTTATTTTATGATATAGATTGAAAGTAAAGATTGCAAAATAAAATAGATTGGAAACTTATATGATGGAGAATAGATGATGGAGTCATGTACCTAGGGTAGGGTCACAGACCTGATCTAAGTACCCTGCCCAAGGACACCCTCAGAAGAGATCACCTTCCAGTCGACCTACGAGGGACTCACTCGACTGACTTGAAGGACTCGACCACGAAGACTCACTCGACCACCAGAAGGTCAAGAGGCACTCTGCACTGCAACGGTCTGTAATTGAGTAGACTTTATGATAGTAAAGACACTTTATGTGGGGCGTTACCAGTAACGCCCCGGACTTAATGTACCTTAAACCCTTCATTACGTGGGTTGGCTGGGGTCCTGGAGCACTCTATATAAGCCACCCCCTCCACAGGCAGAGGGGTTCGGCACTCTGTAATCCATATACACATAATCCACTCGACCGCCTCCGGGCTCCGAGACGTAGGGCTTTTACTTCCTCCGAGAAGGGCCTGAACTCGTACATCTCTTGTGTTTACAACCTCTCCATAGCTAGGACCTTGCCTCTCCATACCTACCCCCCACTCTACTGTCAGATTTAGATCCACGACAGTTGGCGCCCACCGTGGGGCCGGTGTTTTAGCGATTTTGTGGAGAAGTTGCGATTCTTCCGAGTACTTTCATCATGGTAGCTGCTGGAGTTTTGGTCGAGGGTCGAGAGATTCCCGGTGCTCTCATCTTCGTCGCCGACGACTCCGCCTGGCTCCAGGAGGCTCCACTCGACGTCGATGCGCTCCCCGTCCGCGGTGCGACGCATTTTCGCGCATGTGTCCGCGGCGTTCTGCTGCGGCAACCGTCGACCCCATGTCGGTCGACTCCCCTATCGACCACCCTCCCGGTCTCCCGCCAGCGCAAGCGCTCGGGTCGGTCGAGGCTTCAGCGGTGGGTGAGACACGCGGTGGCTCGCCAGACGGCCACCACCCAAGTTGCGGCAATCGAGCCCGACGAATCTCTCTACGACCTGTTCGATCTGTCGACTGGCTCCGTAGAGACTGCATCCGAATGCGATAGCAGTGATCCAGCGGCGGAAATCCTGATGGTCGACGGGCCTCGCAGCCCCCCTGGCTTCGCCCGTGATGGTGGGGCAGGCGACGGAGGCGACCCCGCATGAGACCACGAAGAGTACCAGCCCGAGCCACTCGACTCTCTGCAAAGAGAGGAACTTCGCCGCAGGAACATGGATGCCCTGCATACTCCCATCGCAGGAGAAACCCCCGAGGCTCGCGCCTTGGAGGAGGCACGTTTGGCCAATTTGGCCGAACGCGCTCGCCTGGAGAATCTTCAGCGAGCACTCGACGAGCGCGCGTGGCAACGAGTTCCCGACGCCAATCGACGTCAACTCTTCCCGCCGACTCAGGTATATCGAACCCCAATCCAGAATTTAGCAGCTGCGACCCGTATAGCAGAGTCCATCCAGCCCTCTCAGTCGGAAGCTGGCAGAGGCTTGATGCAGATCAGGGATCTGCTCCGGGCAGCAGGAGATCAGAATTCAGCCGTGTCGTAGTCGCGCAACAGAATTCACAGTCGATCCGTCGCTGCGAATACGGTTCAGTCGGCTCACAGTCCCAGATCGCCTCCGCGGCGTGAAGGGCGCGAGAATCGGCGAGACCAATATGGAGACCGACACGACCGAGATGATAGGCGCCGAGTGCCCACTTCCCCTCCAAGGGGTGGGTCTTACGCTCCTCGGCAGCAAGATGACAGACGTCAGCTCAGTGCGGGGCGAAGAGTTCCAGTCGACCCCAGAGAACCAGGCTTCGACGCGCGATCCATTATCGTGCAAGGCTTGGTCGACCGGAACAGAGCCCATCGAGGTGGACTCGACAGAGATGCGCCCACGAGCAGTCGAGTGCACGTTTCTGGTCCGGAATGTTTCAGCAGAGCTATCAGAGCCGCAGTGATTCCTCCCAATTTCAGGTTGGCAACAGGAGTCAGCAAGTTCACCGGTGAGTCTAAGCCTGAAACTTGGCTTGAGGACTACCGAGTGGTGGTTCAGATTGGTGGTGGGAATGACGAGGTGGCCATGAAGCATTTTCCCCTCATGTTGGAAGGTTCTGCCAGAGCGTGGTTGAATCAGTTACCTCCTAGCAGCATTTACACTTGGGAAGATCTGTCCCGAGTGTTCGTCAGAACGTTTGAAGGAACTTGCAAGCGACCGGCTGGATTGACGGAGCTGCAAGTCTGCGTGCAGAAGACCAATGAGACTCTCAGGGAGTATATTCAGAGATGGATCACTTTGCACCATATTGTGGAGAATGTGTCTGATCATCAGGCAGTCTGCGCCTTCAAGGATGGTGTCAAGAACAGAGAATTGAGTTTGAAATTTGGTCGAACCGGAGACATGACCTTGAGTCGGATGATGGAAATTGCTACCAAGTACGCCAACGGCGAAGAAGAAGACCGACTCCGAAGCGGCAAGCACAAGCCGAGCCAGTCGGAGAAGGGAAACACCAGTCGGAAACAGAAGCGGAAGGCTGAACCGGCAGCTCCTGGAGAGGCTCTGGACGTGACTCATGGAAAGTTTAAAGGGAAACCAAAAGGATCCTGGAACCCTAAGAAGGTAAAGGATAAAGAAGGGAACGACGTGATGGATATGCCGTGTCACATCCACACGAAGAAAGACGAAGAGGGGAATATCATTTACCCAAAGCACACCACTCGCCAATGTCGACTCCTGATCCAGCAGTTTCAAGGAAAACAGTCTAAAGACAAGGAAAAGGAGTCGGACAAGGCCGAAGACAAGGAGGACAGTGAGGAAGGATATCTGCATGTCAACTCCACTCTGATGATCTTTGCAGATGTGGAAAGCAAGAGTCGATTGAAAGTCATTAACCGCGAGGTGAACATGGTTACCCCAGCAAAAGCAAATTATCTGAGATGGTCCCAAACACCCATCACATTCGACCAATCTGATCACCCGACTCATATTGCCACCCCTGGGAGGCAAGCTTTGGTGGTCGATCCAGTTGTCGAAGGCACTCGACTGACAAAAGTGCTGATGGACAGTGGTAGCGGGCTGAATTTGTTGTATGCAGACACACTGAAAGGAATGGGCATTCCGATGTCCCGACTGAGCACCAGTAACATGAGCTTTCATGGAGTTATACCAGGGAAGAAAGCCGAGTCACTCGGCCAAATAGCTCTGGACGTGGTGTTTGGTGATTCGAAACATTTTCGCAAAGAGAAGTTGACGTTTGAGGTCATGGATTTTCAGAGTGCATATCATGCCATTTTGGGGAGACCAGCTTATGCACGGTTCATGGCTCGACCATGTTACATGTACCTCAAATTGAAGATGCCCGGCCCCAAAGGAGTGATCACTGTCACCGGTGATCGGAAAAAGGCAGAAGAGTGCCTTCAGAAGGGCTCAAAGATTGCTGATTCCCAGGTGACAGCGGTCGAGTTT